TCAGGGCAATCCTCACAACACGCATTCGTGCATTCATCAGTTAAAGAGAAGTTGTTGCAGGCGTGGAATGCGCGTTCGTTCGAGTGTGTAAAAAGGGGATGGGGTTGGGGAGGTTAGTGTGTGTTTGTGAGTGAGTATGAGTGTATGTGTTAGTGTGCATGTGTGTGTGTGTGTGTGTGTGTGTGTGTGTGTGTGTGTGTGTGTGTGTGTGTGTGTGTGTGTGTGTGTGTGAGTGTGAGTATATAATGTGTATGTTTGTATGCTTGTATGTAATTATGTTCTTTGAACCCTCATTCCCAGACTCCTATTCAAAATGCGTTTTTTACTTATGACGTCACAAAGACCTAAACGTGGTCCCACAGTTAATACACGCCGACTATGCGTATTAAGTCATTAAGTCCTAATAATAATAATAAAAATGAAAAAATATATATGTGTGGTTAGGCTGGTTAACTTTTTCTCTGATAATTATAACCACGACTCACAACTTTACCACCCAAACCCCAATCGTTTTACAAGGACGTAGTATAGATTGTGAAGCGCATTGAGCTTGCTGGGATTTGTGCTATACAAATGCTATTTATTATTATTATTAAGTAACATAGTATTTCAACAGGATTCCTGTATTCACCAGATACAAAAATATTCGCTAATCCTCCTGACGTTATACAGCACAATAGGGCTAAATGCAATAAAGGATTACTTCAAACAAAATAAGTCTGATGTGATATCGATGTGGAACGACGTTACGTAAGCTGTGATTGAAGAACATAACATTTCGTAACCGTCAGCACGAGTATCAGATTGTCTTTATGCCAAACTCAGAGGTCCAGTGACATTTTCAACGAGCCTCTGGCACGGAGCCGTTCCTGGCATTTCCTTTCTCAAAGGTCAGCGTTGAGTTGCGGATAAAAAAGTTTCTAATGTTATCAGATTTCTGTTTCTGGTCTTAGAAAAAGGGGCGATGCGGGCTGAGTGAAATTATAAGGAGAAAAAAAAGAAATTATTTTACCTTAGGAATAATAACGCGTTGTATACTTGTTGTTAATCTAGTAGCCTCTGAGGCATTTCCTTCTGCTCCATGTCACGTGAAAAAATGTGGAGGTCTTCGACGCTAACTTGTTCTTTGCTGCAGTATAGGGCATTGACTGTGGTAGCGAAGGAAGGCTGGAGTATTCATTGAATGGAATACCTTTTCCATGATGCATTACAGACGTAAGGGTTTCTGGGTCTTTTGTCTGGACAATTTTGTCTCTTACCCCAACACTCAGAGAATTGAGATAGATAGATAGATAGATAGATAGATAGATAGATAGATAGATAGATAGATAGATAGATAGATAGATAGATAGCA